AACACTGCAGGTGATTTTAAAAGAATTTTTTTAATTAACTTGTCTTCGATTTCCCTTCAGTTACACAATTTTCTATTTAGTTCACATTTTTTTTTTTTTTTTGAATTCACTTGGGGCTCACGTCGCGCAGGTTCCGGCAGTACTAAACTTCGAAACGCTGCTGCACTAGTGTTTTAATAAAAACTTTTTTAAAGACTCACAGAATGCGAAAGAATAACACAATATAAATGAAACTACAAATATTTGCTGTTCAAATTTATTTTAGTTGGACATATGCAAAATTTCCATAATTGCAAGTTGCAGGCCTTCACACAGCCTGAACATCRCAGTTTTGTTGTTTTCCTTTAAAATAAGAATGAAATAGTAACAGTTGCAGAACAAACAAAACCAAAGTCAGACCAAAATAAATAGAGGCAACGCATTAGGCAAAATATAGTAAAAAAATGACAATCAAAACGACATTCAAGCACCTTTAGATGACCACGCCAAAAGCAGTTAGACTTCGGCTACGTCATCAACTAGTTTTGGCACCGGCAAACAAGACGCTCAGTCAACTGAGCAGCCACCTGCGAGATAGTGTGCAAATATTTATATTCATCAGCAAGCACAGTGTTGGTGAAAATAATAACATTCTTCAAATTTTAAATGAGAAAACAGACTATTAAATGGTAGATAGGAAATATATTCTTTATTGGTATTAATACCAACGATGCCTGTAAGATMTCTGACTGTTAATCCTTCATTATSAAGCATCAGTTAATRTTGATGGCCGTYCTGAACGTGGTTCRTCGTCAAAGCGTTCACAACCCTTTTTGAAGAATTTGTACCAATCAAAATCACTTAAATGCGTTGATTCAGCATTTAATATGTACATATTAATTTTTCGAAAAAAGAAATCGCTAATCGTCGACCAAAGTATTATACACCATAGAAATAAGAGAATTGCAATAAGCGCAATTTCAAACTTCGAAATAAAATATCTTGATTTTGGGCCTTAATTTCGAAAAACGTAAAAATTAGTTTTTTACTTAAAATCCCGGTGTTTGGAATTAAAATTAGTAGATATTAGTAATATTAATAAGTGATGTTTGGGATTAAAAAGTAAAATTTTCAATTCGTTTTTTAATTTAATTCTTAATCAATATCTTCTTTTTCATTCATAATGGTAGACTCTGGATTAAAATTTTTCTCTTTAATTTTTCAACCCGGTAGTTTGGATTAAACATTAAACTTTAAATTGTG